TAACTCATATACTTTTGAGGAGGAGAGTTTCCCATTTTGGGAGAACTTTCCAAGGCAGTCCACTGCCCAATCTAAGGAAGGAAATTTTGATACAATCAAGTCACGGACGTTCCCAATTGCTTTCATAAGTCTAGAATCCTTTTGGTGTGGAACAAAAGTCCACACCTCCCTACCATGAAGGTAAACCCCATGAACCCACTTTACCCACAAAGAGTCTTGTTTAGAGTGGATGTTCCATAGTGTTCGGGACATTAAGGCATTATTCCACACCTTAGTATCCCTTAAACCCAACCCCCCTTCATTTTTTGGTAGACACACATCACACCAAGCAACTTTAGCCTGTTTACCACCCCAAAGGAAGAGTCTACAAAGAGAGGTTATCCTATCCAGGATGGTCCTCGGCAAAGGGAAAATACCAAGCCAAAAGGCTTGGACACCTTGCAAGACCGAAGTAATCAACTCAACCTTTCCAGCATAAGATAGAGTTTTTGGGTTCCAAGCATTTAAGTAATCTGTAACCTTGTCAATCAAAGGAGAAAACTGGGCTACCGATATACTTAGAGGAGCAAGTGGAATACCCAAATATCTCACAGGGAAGGATCCTTGTTGAAAGCCCACTCTTTCAAGAATATATGGTATCCTATTTTCCAAATTACCCCCAAGAAAAATATTGGTTTTATCAAGGTTTACCATCAGTTCAGAAACTTTACAAAAATCTGTTAATGCATCAACTAAAATCTTAATTGATGCATAATTTCCCTTAGAAAATAACATCAGATCATCTGCATAAGCCAAATGTGTTATTTTGAGCTTGGAGCATAAAGTATGATAATGTAAATTAGGATTTGAAGTCCTAACTACTAACAGCCTTGAATTATACTCCAAGCAAATAACAAACAACAAGGGTGACATGGGATCCCCCTACCTTAACCCCCTCTTTCCCTCAAACCAGCCATGGAGTGAACCATTTATGGATATTGAAAAAGAAGAGGTTGATACACATTCCATGATCCATTTAACAAATAAGTAGGGGATCCCAATATCCAATAATACTTTCTCAAGAAATTCCCATGAAACCGTATCATATGCTTTCTTAAGATCAATTTTAATCATACATCTAGGCGAAGGCCTTTTTCTAGTATATCCCCTCACTAACTCTTGTGCCAAGAAGATGTTGTCCGACATCAGTCTCCCATCAACAAAAGCTCCTTGTGAGAGCTTGATATTCCCAGAAAGACAAGGCCCCAACCGTGATGCTAAAATTTTGGTGAAGATCGTATAAGTGACATTAGTGCAAGAAATTGGTCTAAAATCCGACACCGTGGGGGAGTGGTTTGTCTTAGGGATAAGAGATACCACAGCGTGGTTCACTTGTTTAAGCAAAGTCCCTGAGGTAAAATCTCCTTCACAGCTTCACAAACATCAACTCCCACAAGATTCCAATTATTTTTGAAAAATGCGGATGAAAAGCCATCCGGACCAGGGGCTTTGTCATCACCAATGTCAAACACAGCCTCCTTAGTTTCTTTACTAGTCACAGGGCTAATAAGGTCATTAATGAGTGACTGGTCAATGATCTTACCAGAAGTGACCACCCCCGGGTCATAGTCCTGCATGGGTAAACTTGTACCAAAAAGTCCTTTAAGGAAAGAAATAAACTCATTTGCTACATGATCCAAAGATTTGGTAAGACTTCCATCTTCCAATCTTAAGGAAGCAATAGAGTTTTGTGCATTCTTCTTCTTCATAATGGAATGAAAATACTTAGTACATTTGTCAGATTGCAAAATATGATTCACCTTAGCCTTTTGTTTAACATAGGCTTCCTCAGATTCTTTTAAGAAAAGAGCTTTCTTTCTTGCACTTAACAATTCCTCTTTAAGGCTTTCATCCAAAGGAGATAAGAGAGCTAATTGATAGATTCTTTTATACTCCTTTTTAGACACCTTTGCCCTAGCCGTGATGTGACTAAATTCATCTTTGTTTAGTTGTTTGAGGGGTTGTTTTAGAAGTTTCAGTTTGCGTGCCAGCCTAAACTGAGCCGTACCAACAACATCTCTATTCCAAACACTCTCCAAAATGGTATGAAACCTTTCATGCTTTAGCCACATATTAAAAAATTTGAAGGGTTTAGACCCTAAACAGTTCACGGCTCCAATGGTCACCAAAGACGCAACATGATCAAACTCACATTCCATTTCAAAGAAATGAGCCTTACATGTTACATTTTGTTGACACCAAAAGGAATCGATAAGTACTCTATCCAATTTAGCCCAGGTCATACCTCTATTCCAAGTGAAGGTTTCACCGGTAGAAGGAGCATCACAAAGGTTAGATTGGATTTTCATATCATTAAGATGTTGCATTGCATAGGCCGAAGGAGGGGCCGAACCCCTCCTCTCACAAGGAGAGCCTACACAATTAAAATCACCCAATACAAGCCATGGTAAAAGAATATTTTGACTTAACCCGGTTATATGTTCCCACAATTCCCTCCTTTGCACAATAGTATATAATGCATAAACAAAAGTGACATAGAAATGCATTTGTGTAACCTTACAAGTAAATCTCGCATGGATATGTTGTTTATCCACTTGTAAAATTACACCATCAACAAAATTGGGATCCCATATGATATCCATACGTCCCCCCTTCATCTTATCAAAATTGGTTATATATTTCCAAGAGTTAAATCTAAAGTTTACAAAGCTATCAAAATTAGTAGAAGACATCTTAGTTTCAAGTAGGCAAAATATACGCACCTTATTTGTCCTTGCAAATGAAGAAACTATGTTTTGTTTTGAGGCTTGGTTAAGCCCCCTTATGTTCCATGATGCTAAAAACATAAAATTAATTATGTGCCGAGACTCCCCTCCTCTTGTGAGACCTCACCTTGTCCCTCTCTTCTTGCCTCCATTGCCGGATCTCGTCACACCCTTTGTACCTATCAACGAAATAATTGATAACTCGTTGTTATAAAGTAGGAAGAGAAAACATACCTTTCATCCATGCATGACACCCCGGGGAGAGATCTTAAGCATGAGGTGGTGAAGATGATCCCTTTCCTTGCTATATTCCACTCAATGTCAAGGTAATTATCAAGTCTTGTCATTTGCTCCTTCACAAGTTCCCCATGCATCAAATGGATGTTGACCTTACCGTCTTCTTCAAACTCTACTTTTGTTATAACATCATCCATAAATGCCTCCCTAATGTCTTGGACCACATGGCTTTCCTTCCCTTTGAATTTCCTCATGTCCTTAACCTTATTTCCATTGCCCGTTAGATGCCCATCTTCGTAGTACCCATTAAGGTAGTGTTTATAAACACTCCTCATAAACTCCGTTGTGTAGGCATACCCTCTCTTTCTCTTGTGTACTCCCGGAAGCTCTTCAAAGCATTTTTGGGTAAACCACACCCCGGGTTCATTGTCTTGAGCCAATTTCAAAGAGTGGTCAATTCAGACTTTAGGTTCACTAACCTCTTTGATGTTCTTCACTTGATATGTAGGTTCACTATATTCGTCCCTTTGCATGTCAATGATGACTTCATCATCATAGATATCCATGAAACCTTTGATCTTCCTTGGGGTACATCCTTCCTCCTCATCATTAGAAGATGATTCATATCCGGATGCCTCCTTCGCTTTCTCCTTTGATTTAACAATATTCTTCTTTCTTTCATCCATTTTCTTTAGTCTTCTTCTCTTAAGAAAGGGGTGAAGTTTCTTCCCTTTCTCTATCACGGGTACCCCTTCCACACTTTTGGTAGATGTCTCGGCAAGAGCCTTTTTGTACAAGTCAAGCTTCCTATATGCTGCCTTCCCTTTAGGTTGATGTTGGATAGTGGATGCCACGGCATTAGACATGGATGTCGCGGCATTAGGTAGTGTTGCAGCATTAGGCATGGATGCCGCGGCTAAAGGCAATTCCGCGGCTATAGGATCACTTGATGGAAGCTTTGGTTGCCCTCCACCTTCCTCAAGAGCTTTAAGCTTTTCCTCTCTTTCTTTCCTTTCTATCTCGGCCAAAGCTTTACAAGTAAACGCATGATGACCATAGGTTTTACAATGAAAACAATAATTTGGGAAAGTTTCATATATCAATTTTTGGATATGAAACTTCCCATTTGGCATTTTCACCTTAAGCCGTAGGGGGGGTGGCTTAGAAGCATCCACCTGAATAAGAACTCTCGCATAGTTGGATCTTGCTTTCTCTTGGGTTATTCTATCCGTTGTCAAAGGAACACCAACTCTAGATGCAATATCGCTTATGATGTCCTCTTGCCATGCTTGCATAGGAAGATAGGGAAATTTGACCCAAATTGGTACCTTTAAGAATTCCTCACAATCAAAAGTACAGTTCTCGGAAAAAACTTTCAAATAAAGTGATTTACCGAAAAGAGTATAAGGGCCTTCCATCAAAACCTTGCTTCTTGCCTCCTTATTTTTGAACTTAAATATCACCCAACCTTTATCATGTTGTCTAAATTTTCATTGAACTCCCCACTTAGCCACCATTTCTTGTATAGGTTTCCATCCGGGAAATCTGCCCGCAAAGTAGCCCACTAGACAAAATCCCCAAAGTTCAACTATTGAGGGCATACACTAGTGGGAAAAACACATTATATAACGGTTAAAATCAACATTCTAGAACGGTTCGGGAACCGACATTGTTCCAATGGTTATAGAAACTCGGGCGCTTTCCATATCGGTTGTCGCAACCGTTATAGAATTTATTCTATGTCGGCTGAAATCCAACCGTTATCGAATGTCCTTCACACACGTTGTCTTTGTACAGCACATTCCGTATGGGTTCCGCAATGTAACCGTTATTAAATACGTTCAATGTCAGTCAAATATCAACCGTTATTGAAAGGTTTGTCAGCTTGCATTACATTTTAAACATATTATATTTATGAATGCTGTTTTTACAAAACCATTATTTAATAATATTCACAAAACAACCATAATATCCAAAAATCATATATAGTATTAATCTTACTAGCAAAAATTAAACATCATTTTACACCATCAAAATTCAAGAGTTGGCAAGTTGCAAAAAAATTGCATATCACTTTCTAATATGCTAACAATGTTTAATTTCTACTAAATAAATACTAAATGCTAGTTGCTTCGCAGAAAAACAATGCCCAACGCTCTCGAATCTCGTTGATGTCTTGTTCACTAAATGGGTCTTGAACATTGAATATCTACAAGATCAATAAAACAATAAACCAATAAGTAAAAATTAAGTAAAAGAAATAAAGACAAAAATATAGTGAAACATGAGTAATAATTTATTACCTCCATCCACGAATCCACAACACTGGCAGAAATAATAGTAGTCATGTGTCTCATAACATAATATCCACATTCAAAACTTCCTCTTTGCATTCGAGACTGCAAATAAATAAGGCATCAAGTCAATATATATTATACAGTACACAATTGAAAATTCCATCATTACCCAACATGGTCCAAAAATAACAGATACAAAGTCTTGATTAAATCAACTGAAATTCAAAACAATAAAGAACGAACTGAAATATCAATAAAGTACAAATAAACTACATTACTAATAAGGTGCAATATCAATCAGAGCTTATTCAATAAGTTGCTGCAAACTGAAATGAACACATTGCAGCCTTGATAAAAAAATTCAATAAACTAGAAGCTGAAATGTTTTTTTTTTGCACAAGACATAGTAGCATTGATTTTATCCCTTCAAATAACACAATATAATCAAACAACTATAAGGTGCAAACTGAAATAATAAACTGCAATCCGATTGAACACTTGACTCATAAAATCAACAAAGTCAAAGCTGAAATGTAATTTTTTATACAAACAGGGCACTATCTATCATAACATAAACATAAAAATTATAAACATCTTATAGTACTTGAAGATAAATAAAAACATCATTTACCATTGGCTTAATCCATTTCGGCTTGGAATTCCTTTTATTTTTTGTCATTTGATGTGCTTGCATCGCCCTAATGAAAACAAAGGTTAGTGAAGTTATAGGTTATGTAAACATTACATAAATTCACCAATTTAATATTACTAAAATTATGTCTTACAAATCTAGAGTACTCTTTATGTTTGCCTTTGGTTTGTTCCCCAAAGAGCATAAGAACACCATTAAGTTTTTCCTCGGGCACAATACAAACAACTGCCAATGGTTACTGCAATGAAATACGGTAACAACTTGAATTATATTTAATCCAAAATGATTAGGTATGGCTGACCTAATATCGGACAGCTTAAATTGTAGGAGTACACCTGGGTAAAAATGAAAAGTACATAATAAAATAAAAAATCTTACGGATAGTAGTACGGTAGTAAGTAGCACTCTTTGTTTCCTTCACTCAGTTGAGTCATTATATAAGTTTGAATATCTTCACGCTTGTTCCCCACATCTTGAGTGGTATGTGGGTCAAGAAAAGCGTACAGGTGTGCAGTATCCTTTCGAACACAAATCCCATGCAAATGCCTGTAAAGTTAATCATAATAAATATATAACAAAAAGTTTTAGAAACTTCTATCTTCCATAAAAGATTAATAACATAACTACAATGAGAAAAAACAAAAAATTCATCTTACATTATCCATACTTGTAGAATCACTGCACTTAGCATTTGATTCCCCACACATATCTCTAATATCTCCTCAGAGCCAACAAAAAGAGATATAGCAGACCGCCCAACTATTTCTTCTTTCAGGATTAGCTCTATCGGTTGTGGACCAAGGTGAGTAGTCATTGTCAATAAACGTTATATTGGACCCTTGTTCTCATCAGAAGCATTGTCCTCATCATGGTTGTCATTATCCTACACAAACAAAAATGGGGATGGAAGATATATGTTGACACTATTACAGTTAATTTTTTATTATTATTTTACTATGTTGATTTATTACATATCCTAAAATAAAAGAGTTGTTTTTCATTAACAAGTGTTGGTATTTATTTATCACCTTTCCATTTGTCCACTCCTTTACGTGAGGGTCAACCAATCTTTTTGGCCATTGAATGAACTGATTGGGGGCCTGTCCAACTGTCTGGACCTCTTCACTTGGAATTGGGACCAATGCAGATGCATCCAAAACCTCCACAACCTCCACCCTAACAATACCTGAATCTATTCTCTCATGGTGTATAGTAGGACCCAAATTGTGTACCTGATTAAGATTTCAGAATTTATGTCATTTGGAAGTTCTGCTACGTAGAATTTATTTCAGAATTTTTATAACATAACTAGAATACCTTTCCCATGGCTTGTGACACCTCACAAACTTTAAAAAAATGATGAATATATTGAATTTACGATAGGTGACTCTATCACTATCAAATAACATATTAATACACAAAATACTAAAAGTAACTTTTAGTAATACATACTTTCATATGTGCGTATGACACATAGGAATAACAACAACAACACATATTACGTAGTAATAACAATGAATAATAATGGCATACATACTAATCATACATACATAATGCACCCATATATGCATGGAATGAATTACACACATACATACATCATAACATATATACACCCCATACTTGTAAAGCTATAACGTATGCAATACGGAGTAATAATACTTGGACCAGGCGGGGTGTAATGATATTAATTGGCATTAAAATCAAATAATAAAAAAAAACAAAACCAGCGGGGAGTCATCCGTTACTTGGACCGAGCTGCAGCTTATAACGGAAGAATGGGAACCATCAAGGTGATACCTGCGTTTTTTTCATTCCCAAGCTGCAACTATAAACTTACGTGTATATATATATATATATATATATATATATATATATAATCCAAAATCCAACCCAGCAAAATACTAAAAACCGACCCATTAGAACACTTCTAAAACTTTCCCCTTCGTGAGAGGAATCCAACGGAGGAAGAATCATTGAAAACGGTCGTGAAACGAGGGAGAAAACGCTCGCCGGAGTTTTCGTCGGAAAACTTTCCCGACAGAAAATGGAGGAGCAGGAGCCGCCGTCGCCGCCGCCAACCCTTCACCGGCCTTCGCCGTCCCGAGAGGAGTGCACCGCTACCCCGTTGGCCGTTTCCGACGAGGTAAGCCTCTTCCCCGTTTTTTCTTTTCCCTCCCCGTTTTTCCGGCGTTTCACTGGGGAAGAAGACCCAGTCACCCAGCCAAATGTCTTGTGGGCCTGATTTTTTGGGCCAGAAGAATTAAATTTGGGCCAGTTCGGCCCAGTTGCAATAAAAATTAAAAATAAAATAGTAAATGAAATAAATAAAATCTGGAAAAATATAAATTAAATACCTGGTGTGAGTATACATATTCGGACCAACCAGAATTGAAAACTAATATTTTTAGCTATTTTTAATTGATTTAATGGTAATTGGGCCAATTTGTACACAATTAGTAAATAAATAAGTAAATGGCGAAATTAATTATGAAATAAATATTGGAGTAAACTAGGATAAATATAAGACTAACTAAGAAATTATGGACCATTTATAATTAATAAAAATTAATATTAGTATATTTAATTGTAAATGGACCGGTTATTTGATATACGAAAATAAAGGAATAATTAAGGAAAATGAATTATAAAATAAATATTTGGACAACCTAAGCCAAATGTAGAACCAAAATATATTTATGGACGGTTATTAATTTATAAAGTCGACTCTTGGCTATTTTATTAAATTGGACCATATAAAACTAATTAAGTAATTAAATAATGAAATTTTTTTATGATGAAATGAATTTATAGTTTAACATTCATTAAAGAATATTATATTAAAATAATTATTTGGACTTGGTATCATAATTAGATTAAATAAGTTGGTAGATTTTGTTTTCACTAATTATTGGACTAATTAAGGTAGAGTAATATAAAATTTGCATAATTACGGACTTTAAAATATTAAGTATTTAAGTAATTAATAAAATCAAAATATGTTAGCTAATTCGGATTTATTAATGCTAATAATTTTAATATGAACTAATTTCGATATTTGATTAGTGAGATTAAAAATAATTCGGATATAATATTAAGACATACCAAATGCTTTAGGAGTTGAGTAAATAAAAAGGTGATTATTAAATTAAAAATTTGATATTGTAATTAATTATATTCGTATATTTTAGAATTCAATTATTATAATTAACGACTGAATTAATAAGGTAATTTAGTTAATAAAAAGTGATTAACGCGGATAATAAAATAATTGAATTAGTGAATTCGAAGAATGAAATAAAAGGTGAAAATCGAGTAAAATAATTATTAAAGAGTAAGTGACTAATTATATCATCTTAATTAAAAAGGTGATTATTTAGAGACCGGAGTAGAAGAAGAGAATTAGGAGCACCCGGACTAGAGGTAAGTTTCTCTGCCAATCTAAAATTGTTTCCTCGTATTATATGCTTATTATGCATTATGTGAATAAGTGTGAATTGTTGAATTTTGTGTATTTGATTTTACAAGAGATATTATATATATGGTAATTGAGAAATATAAATTAAGTACTTTTGGGGTATTTAATATTTTTAAATACCTTCAAGACTTTTTAGAGAAATTGAGAAGTATTTTTGAAGTATTATTTATTGAAGATAAAATTTACATTTTTATAAGAGGTGAGCATCACGGGAGAAATCCGTGGTGTCGGTTTTCCACGTCCGGATAAATGTGGAGGGTGATTAGGTCTGCTACTACTAAGAAGTACAGTTTGAGTTTAAAGTGATATTTGGATCGATGATACCTTTTAAGAAGAAGTTATGGTAGTAGTAGTCCCTAGTCATTCAAAATATCTTATTCAGGGGTAGTTGGTAGACTGAGTCCCGACTACTCGTCACGACTTACTACTCGGAGGGCTTGGAATCCCTTTTAGGGGGTGTGCACACTTAAGGTAGTCGTTTCGTTTCCAACAGAGCAGTTGTGGTACCGGCACTTGTTCGGGGTGGCCGTCCGTAACCACGGTCCACCGGGCTCTACCGAAAGGTTGAGCACCGCCCTTCTAAATTACTAGGAAGTTAGAGAAGAAGTGATTTTGAGAAAATCAAAGAGAAGAGTTATTATGAGGTTTTAAAGAGAAGTTGAGGATTTTTGTAAAGAAGTAGTCTTGAGAAAAATCAAAGTGAAAAGAATTTCGATGGTGTGAGTATTTTTATATATCATTATATAAAAATATATTTTTGTCAAACATGATTATTTTACGGGGTTGGGTAGTACTTACTTAGCTATAAAGTTAATTTTTGTTTTCTTTTCTTTGTTTTGTTTCTGCACTTTATTTGTTCAGGTGAGGATGATTTTGTCGATTGTTGATTGCTTGCATGGCCCGAGAGCGAATTAGAAGTCACCTTAGTTATACTAGTCATGAAATAAATATTTACTTTACAAACACTTATTTTTATTAAATTAGTTGTTATGTTTTAGTTGCCTGTGCGTCCGGTTGAGAGATGACCGGATGTGGCGGTAACACCCATTTCCCTATTTTAGACTTCCGCTGTATTTCTTTAAATTTTCATTATCAATAAATAAAAGTTTTATTGTAATTATATCAACGTTTTGGGTGGGAAATTTGGGGGTGTTACAAATTGGTATCAGAGCCTTTGGTTTTCCCGAAAGGACTAGAACACGAGGTAATAGGTCGTAGGGAGAAATTCTGTCACAAAGACGATAACAGTCTAAGCTGGTTGGTGCATAATTGAGTCTTTGCGCTCGTCCAACCAACTGGGAATTTCTCCTTGTGCTGAAACTTCGTTGTTCGAAATCTTTGACGAAAACTATGGGTTTGATGCGGGATTTTCAAAAATGTTTTCCTAAAAGTAGGAGAATGAATATACTAGGAAAAAAACCTATTAGGAACGTGGTGAGAATGTGAGGTTTTAACGATATGGATCTATATTATTGAGTTGTGAAGTTCATAAAGTTATTTGCTTATATATGAAGTATGTCAAATTAGATAGCGTATGAAATAGAACTTGAGTATGACCTTAGTGTAGGACTTGTATGTTTAAGATAGCGTAGAGACCTTACAATGCTTTGTACTTAAGAGAGTGTTGAGATTAGAAGTAAGGTAGTCAAAATAGTGAATGTCTTATGGTCAAATTGTTTGACCAAAAACCCCACTTGGGAGACTGAGGATGATATGCGCAAACGCTACCCTGAGTTATTTGACTAAGGTAACATTTTGGTTACGGGGACGTAACCCCTCTTTTAAGGGGGGTAGAATGTAATACTTAAGAATTTTGACGTTGTTTATGCTTCGAGACAAAGCATCTTTTAAGGGGGATAGAATGTGACACCTCACAAACTTAAAAAAAATGATGAATATATTGAATTTACGATAGGTGACTCTATCACTATCAAATAACATATTAATACACAAAATACTAAAAGTAACTTTTAGTAATACATACTTTCATATGTGCGTATGACACATAGGAATAACAACAACAACACATATTACGTAGTAATAACAATGAATAATAATGGCATACATACTAATCATACATACATAATACACCCATATATGCATGGAATGAATTACACACATACATACATCATAACATATATACACCCCATACTTGTAAAGCTATAACGTATGCAATACGGAGTAATAATACTTGGACCAGGCGGGGTGTAATGATATTAATTGGCATTAAAATCAAATAATAAAAAAAAAACAAAACCAGCGGGGAGTCATCCGTTACTTGGACCGAGCTGCAGCTTATAACGGAAGAATGGGAACCATCAAGGTGATACCTGCGTTTTTTTCATTCCCAAGCTGCAACTATAAACTTACGTGTATATATATATATATATATATATATATATATATATATATATATATATATATATATATATGTATATAATCCAAAATCCAACCCAGCGAAATACTAAAAACCGACCCGTTAGAACACTTCTAAAACTTTCCCCTTCGTGAGAGGAATCCAACGGAGGAAGAATCATTGAAAACGGTCGTGAAACGAGGGAGAAAACGCTCGTCGGAGTTTTCGTCGGAAAACTTTCCCGACAGAAAACGGAGGAGCAGGAGCCGCCGTCGCCGCCGCCAACCCTTCACCGGCCTTCGCCATCCCGAGAGGAGTGCACCGCTACCCCGTTGGCCGTTTCTGACGAGGTAAGCCTCTTCCCCGTTTTTTCTTTTCCCTCCCCGTTTTTCCGGCGTTTCACTGGGGAAGACGACCCAGTCACCCAGCCAAATGTCTTGTGGGCCTGATTTTTTGGGCGAGAAGAATTAAATTTGGGCCAGTTCGGCCCAGTTGCAATAAAAATTAAAAATAAAATAGTAAATGAAATAAATAAAATCTGGAAAAATATAAATTAAATACCTGGTGTGATTATACATATTCGGACCAACCAGAATTGAAAACTAATATTTTTAGCTATTTTTAATTGATTTAATGGTAATTGGGCCAATTTGTACACAATTAGTAAATAAATAAGTAAATGGCGAAATTAATTATGAAATAAATATTGGAGTAAACTAGGATAAATATAAGACTAACTATGACATTATGGACCATTTATAATTAATAAAAATTAATATTAGTATATTTAATTGTAAATGGACCGGTTATTTGATATACGAAAATAAAGGAATAATTAAGGAAAATGAATTATATAATAAATATTTGGACAACCTAAGCCAAATATAGAACCAAAATATATTTATGGACGGTTATTAATTTATAAAGTCGACTCTTGGCTATTTTATTAAACTGGACCATATAAAACTAATTAAGTAATTAAATAATGAAATTGTTTTATGATGAAATGAATTTATAGTTTAACATTCATTAAAGAATATTATATTAAAACAATTATTTGGACTTGGTATCATAATTAGATTAAATAAGTTGGTAGATTTTGTTTTCACTAATTATTGGACTAATTAAGGTAGAGTAATATAAAATTTGCATAATTACGGACTTTAAAATATTAAGTATTTAAGTAATTAATAAAATCAAAATATGTTAGCTAATTCGGATTTATTAATGCTAATAATGTTAATATGAACTAATTTCGATATTTGATTAGTGAGATTAAAAATAATTCGGATATAATATTAAGACATACCAAATGCTTTAGGAGTTGAGTAAATAAAAAGGTGATTATTAAATTAAAAATTTGATATTGTAATTAATTATATTCGTATATTTTAGAATTCAATTATTATAATTAACAACTGAATTAATAAGGTAATTTAGTTAATAAAAAGTGATTCACGCGGATAATAAAATAATTGAATTAGTGAATTCGAAGAATGAAATAAAAGGTGAAAATCGAGTAAAATAATTATTAAAGAGTAAGTGACTAATTATATCATCTTAATTAAAAAGGTGATTATTTAAAGATTGGAGTAGAAGAAGAGAATTAGGAGCACCCGGACTAGAGGTAAGTTTCTCTGCCAATCTAAAATTGTTTCCTCGTATTATATGCTTATTATGCATTATGTGAATAAGTGTGAATTGTTGAATTTTGTGTATGTGATTTTTGAAGAGATATTATATATATGGTAGTTGAGAAATATAAATTAAGTACTTTAGGTCTGCTACTACTAAGAAGTACAGTTTGAGTTTAAAGTGATATTTGGATCGATGATCCCTTTTAAGAAGAAGTTATGGTAGTAGTAGTCCCTAGTCATTCAAAATATCTTATTCAGGGGTAGTTGGTAGACTGAGTCCCGACTACTCGTCACGACTTACTACTCGGAGGGCTTGGAATCCCTTTTAGGGGGTGTGAACACTTAAGGTAGTCGTTTCGTTTCCAACAGAGCAGTTGTGGTACCGGCACTTGTTCGGGGTGGCCGTCCGTAACCACGGTCCACCGGGCTCTACCGAAAGGTTGAGCACCGCCCTTCTAAATTACTAGGAAGTTAGAGAAGAAGTGATTTTGAGAAAATCAAAGAGAAGAGTTATTATGAGGTTTTAAAGAGAAGTTGAGGATTTTTGTAAAGAAGTAGTCTTGAGAAAAATCAAAGTGAAAAGAATTTCGATGGTGTGAGTATTTTTATATATCATTATATAAAAATCTATTTTTGTCAAACATGATTATTTTACGGGGTTGGGTAGTACTTACTTAGCTGTAAAGCTAATTTTTGTTTTCTTTTCTTTGTTTTGTTTCTGCACTTTATTTGTGCAGGTGAGGATGATTTTGTCGATTGTTGATTGCTTGCATGGCCCGAGAGCGAATTAGAAGTCACCTTAGTTATACTAGTCATGAAATAAATATTTACTTTACAAACACTTTATTTTTATTAAATTAGTTGTTATGTTTTAGTTGCCTGTGCGTCCGGTTGAGAGATGACCGGATGTGGCGGTAACACCCATTTCCCTATTTTAGACTTCCGCTGTATTTCTTTAAATTTTCATTATCAATAAATAAAAGTTTTATTGTAATTATATCAACGTTTTGGGTGGGAAATTTGGGGGTATTACATGGCTACTAAGTGAAAGGGGGTATCCACATAAAGTCGGGATAGCTCATCATCCGACTCAGAGATATCCTCTGGAGCATTGCTCCCTTTTGTACTGACATGTGTAGGAGAACGAGTGCGGCGTGCCTCTGTGTGCAGTTCTGGTTGTTGGGTTAAACCCATTCTCTTAAGTTCATCTTGAAGCTGCTGAGCAAATACTCGTGACAATTGTTCAGTTACCTGTTGTGTTACTTGTATTGTTACCTGTTGTGTTACCTCCTGCTGCATCTCCTTCTTGATTCGATCAACGTCATTTATGGTCAAAAGTGTGGATTTATGACCTTGACGTGCTAAGGGTCCAAAGTGTGAAAGAATACCAACACCTGTTCTAGCACCACGTACACGACCTGGGTGCTCAGGACGTTCAGTAGCCGCCGTTAAGATATCATCACGACCGATGGGAGCAAAGGTCCCTTGCTTTTCCTCCTCAACTAAAGAATCCTGCGAACCACAAATGCACAACCCTTTTAAGGTAGTTATACAAGTCAATTTATATTTACAGTCAAAATATTATCAATCTTTGACTTACAATTTTTTCTCCGATCTCGAGAGACCTCTTTGATGTATACTTGCCTGTTCGTCTGATTCGGCCTTGCTTCCATTTCACATGACGGGGTATGGGAGAAGGAGCTTTCAGCCCCAATGAAGGATTAGCCTGAGAAGCTTCTTCATATTCTTTTAATTTCTCAGCCATAAGTTTTTTTTCTAACAGGTCATATCCACCTCGGGACAATATGTGAGGACAGTCATTATGAGCTTGGATTTCCTGTGCCTTTTTCCTGCGCTCCTGTTTTACATGCACAACACAAAGAGATGATAATGCACCATGTCAAAGGTAACAATACCCTAATGGTATCAACTTTAGTACAATATAGTCCTGGAACTAGAAACACAAACATCTTCTCAAAATAAGATAATGTGATCTTGTAATAAATACAGAGGGGATTTATGAGAATCTAGAAACACAAACATCTGCAGAACAAAACAAAGCCTTTAAGAAAAACTTCTCTAACCAGAAAAGTTGGGTCTTTTCTACTTCGTACAAACTCTTGCCAAGTCTCAACACTTATCCATTGATACTTTTCTGTGGGGTTTTCCCCATATCGATCGCCAAATATGTAAGATGATGTCAAAAATGTCTTGAATCCCGTCCACCTATTACCAGCATATGATATCCATCTTCTTCTCAGTTCATGAGTATTAGGGACGTCAAAAGTGAGCTACAATACAAAAGTGAGATTGAGATAGAGCCGTCAAATCTAGCTTTAGACTGAAATAGAGTTGTCAAAATTGAACATGAAAACAGTTACCTGGATGGCCTCCCAAATCTGGTTTTTAACTCCCTCCGTAACAACTTCCCAACTAGGGAGTAGTATACTAGCTCTCATCCTCCCCTCGAGAGCCACAAAACTAACAAATGCATTCTTATTTGGACCCATTGCGTTCCCATCTTCATCAAAATCAATAGGTAGTGTCCTATTAGCTGCAATGAAAAAGAAATTGAGCAAGTAAACAATGAAAATAGTTATGTATAATAAATTAAGAGAATTGAATTACCCGCACGACTGCGGATCAAAGCCTTCAACTTTGTGGGATGCCTACCCTTTTTCTTTCTATTATTGTTGCTTGATCCGCTTTGCTCTTGATCATTCATGTTCCTGTTTACATACATAACATTAATAGTTATCATCTATAACAAGTATTAACATAAATAAATATATAAGTACCTAACTAAATAAATAAACAAATAAATGAATAAATAAATAAGTAAACAAGTACATACACTAACACGAATATTCTCCCATATTCCTTCTTCATGATCCTCACGAGCTGCATGTATATTGTCCACCTCATCATCATCAACTTCAATAGGCACCGGGGTAGATAGCGGAATCTCAAATACGTCATCACTGTTTTCATCATTCACAGATAGGTGTTTTCCTTGGAGGACCACTGACCACCTTGTATTAGAAGGATCAATCACGTAAAACACTTGTTTTGCTTGATAAGCCATGATGAAAGGCTCTGACGTGTACGCTAATGAATTCAAATTCACCAATGTAACACCAAGCGCATCATTTTTTACACCATTCTTATTGTCTACCCACTTGCACTTAAAGACAACCTCTCTGAACCCTGTGTAATCAATTTCCCAAATCTCATCAATAACTCCATAGTAAGATATTGATGCCATAACTGGACTTTTATCTTTTGCGCTTGAAAAGTGCATGGCCTCTGCCACAACCATCACCCCACTGTTTTGCATGATACTCTTATCATCTTGGAATTTTGTACAGAAAGAATATTTATTGATGTTATACCCACCCCAACACATAACTTCAAAGTATATTCCATTTGCAAACCATCTTAGTCTATCACTGACGTTAGCCTCTTTCAAAATCAGCTCTTGGAACCATTTCAAAAAGGTCTTGTTGTGTTCATTCAGCAACCATTTTTCACTCTTGCGTGGATTTTTTTGCTTCAGTAGAGCTTTGTGAGTGTGCAAATATGGTTGAACCTCTTCAGAATTGTTAAGTATATAGAGATGCGCTTGAAACACATCATCCCGAGGCATGCTCTTACATGTTAAGCCTCTAGCACCCTCACCTTTACATCTTCCATCATGACGGGACTTTGGAATCCCTATAGCTTCAACTCCTGAGATATAGGTTGTACAAAAATCAATAGCTTCCTCTGCTACGTAACGTTCAACAATAGATGCTTCTGGACGGTGTTGATTCTTTACATACCCTTTCAATATTTTCATGTATCGTTCTACTGAGTACATCCATCTTAAATAGACAGGGCCACATAATCTTATCTCCCTTACTAAGTGAACTAGTAAGTGAACCATGATGTCAAAAAAAGATGGGGGGAAAAACATTTCAAGCTGACACAGTATAATTGTTGCCTCATTTTCTAATTCATCCAACTTCCCTGGATCAATGACTTTGGCACATATATTATGAAAAAACATACATAACCTCGTTAGTGCCACCCTAAATTTCTCGGGTAAGATGCCCCGAATAGCCACTGATAATAGTTGTTGCATCAGGACGTGGCAGTCATGAGATTTTAAACCAACCAGTTTCAAGTCCTTCATTGACACATACCTCTTCACATTTGAACAGTAGCCATTGGGAACTTTTACACCATGTAAACACTCACAAAAATTGATTTTCTCTTGTTTAGACAAAGTATGACAAGTTGGAGGTAAGTACATACGCTTACCTAGAGGTTGTGGAGCTAGGTTATCTCGTATACCCATCTCTACAAGATCAAGACGAGAATTCAAACCATCTTTTGTCTTTCCAGGAATGTCTAGAAGTGTCCCAATTATACTGTCGCACACATTTTTTTCAACGTGCATCACATCTATACAATGTCTCACATCAAGCATGCGCCAGTAAGGGAGATCAAAAAATATTGACCTCTTCTTCCATATGCGCGTATCAGTAGCTTTTGTTTTTGATTTACCGAACACAACATTGATATCCTTCACTCGTTCGTAAACTTGTTCTCCGGTCAAGGGGGTTGGAGAACATCTATTCTCATTGCATCCATTAAAAGCTTTCTTCAATCTACGGTATGGATGATCCCGTCTGAGAAACCTTCGGTGACCAAGGTATACAGTTTTTCTTCCATGGACTAACTGATGGTAGCACGTGTCTTCTTCACATATTGGACATGCTTTATGTCCCTTAATACTGTAACCAGCAAGATTCCCGTACGCAGGAAAGTCATTAATGGTAAAGAACAATATGGCTCGCATCTTGAAATGCTCATTTCGATACCGGTCAAACACTTCAACGCCTTCCTCCCAAAGTTTTTTTAGGTCTTCAATGAGGGGGCTTAGATAAACATCTATATCATTGCCGGTCTGTTTTGGACCCGAAATCAACAAAGACAACATCATATATTTGCGCTTCATGCACAACCATGGAGATAAGTTATATATTATCAAGAGAACAGGCCATGAACTATGAATGCTACTTAAGTTACCGTAAGGATTCATTCCATCTGTAGATAGTCCAAGCCTAAGGTTCCTCACCTCATTTCCAAAATCAGGAAACAACCCATCAATTTTCTTCCATTGAATAGAATCCGCCGGGTGGCGAATCATGCCATCGCGTTTCCTCTCATCTGCATGCCATCTTATATTCTTCGCTTCTTCTTCGTTAGCAAATAGTCGCTTCAACCTTGGTATTATTGGAAGATACCATAAAACTTTTGCTGCAGAACCAGATGTCTTAATTACATCTTCATTGGAATCGTTGTCTTTGACTTTATAGCGTGATAGTCCACATCTCGGGCACTTGTGCAAATCTGCAAACTCTTTTCTATACAATATACAGTCATTAGGACATGCATGTATCTTCCTATACTCCATACCCATAGGACACAATATTTTCTTTGCTTCATAGTTGCGGTTTGGCAATGTATTCCCTTCGGGTAGCATATCTTTTAACAACACAAGCAATTCTGTGAAGCTCTTATCACTCCACCCATTCTTTGCTTTCAGATGGAACAATCGTAACACAACTGATAATCGTGTGTACTTAGTACATCCGGGATACAAAGGCGTCTCTGAATCACCACACAATGTATCATAAACACGAGATCGACTAAAAGGCTCTGTGCCAACATCACGTATCATGTCCTCTAAATGATCGCCCACATTGGTTGCACAAGTTTCCTCTCTATGAGATGATGTGCTATGCATGTTTAGCCGCTCTCCATGCCATATCCATATCGTATAATTTTTTCAAAATCCATCACAAAGGACATGCTCTCGTATTAAATTAACATCTAATTGTATCCCATTCAAACAATTCACACAAGGACAATAAAACTTTCCATTGTTATCAGGAAGATGCGTTTTAGCAAACTGAAGAAAAGATTCAATGCAAATTTCATACTCATCACTTGTCCGTCTACAATTAATCCAACTACGGTCCATAATAATTATCGTAATGTCTGCAATACATGCAAACACAGATACAACCATAAGAAAACCACATGATAATAATAGAAGGAAATTTACTTTAGATCTCAAACAATAAATTCTAAAAATGAGATACTGAGTTAGTAAGGCATTCATACAAGACTATATAAATGGAAAACTATAATACAAGCGAGACATTCCTACTAGCCAAACATTTATTATAATAGTTATTATAAAAATGAGATGCTAGTAAAAATAGACAAATATTCTATAGAATATTCTACCTTTTTTGGGCAAGTTGGCATCTTATTTTTAATTTTTGTTATTTTCTAGATGTACTTTTGTCACAGATAGAGAGTATCATTAAGTAATTCATTTAATAGTTGCATACTTGCACCGTTGCACATTACAGTGACACATTCAACAAACAAATGTTTGGTTCATTCAAGGGAAACCCATAGAAAGATGCAGGTAAATAAAAATCTTCATCTTTAATGCAAACATTTGCGGAGGTTTTCTTAAAACATTTACAAGGAACAACTTTAACCAATCCTAATCTTCTAAAATTGGATTTAGAAATATAGAAATCCTAATTTTCAACTTTAACCACAGACAACTGGCTTCTCAAGGGAAGATATAGAAATAGACAAACATTTAAGAAGTGATTCTAAAATCTAGAGTACTTGCCAAAAGCCCCAAAAGCTTAATTAGTTAGATGATCATTCAGATCCAAACACACCTCTAATAATGTTAAATGTAATAATCTTAGTTGTGCCTTAATAATGCATGCAACATGCCTGTATAGGTTTCAAGGCCTGTTGAGAATTCGTTGCTAGATGGAGCTAAAGCAGTTGCAAACCGAGTCTCTATAATAAAAGATAAGGATGGTAGGAGAATGAAGGCCTGTTGTCCTGTTTGTTTAATGACTATCACCGTGGACCACACCCTACAAGCTTCTGATCTGAGAATGTCACTGGCTATACACTTACGTTTATATCACCCCGATGATATAAACTTAATCTGGGAGGTTATGCACAATAGACGAAAGTCTTCTGTACACATGCCTTCATTCTTCCTTGGTGTTGGCATGGCTGCTGGAGTTGGAGCCCTCAGTCTCTTGACAAAAAATTGGGCCAGACCATCTCATAATAAAAGGTAAAAGGGCAGAACATTGATTACAGTGTGCTGTTGAGTCTCATGTAAAATTGAATCAATCTTGAACGAGCAAATGTGCTGCTTGGAAGTGATAGAGAAGACTACGAATGTTCTGTAGATGTGAATGTTTATGTATGTATTACTTATATTGTTCAATATTATTCATTCTGTATTTGCTTGTTTGTTACCAGTTTTGTCCCTCCATAAAGTGCTGTTTTGGTTGTTATATACTCCGTGTATGTTTTATGTTGCTCTCCTAGATGTGTTTTTGTTCTTGAAATCCTAATTTTCAACTTTAACCACAGACAACTGGCTTCTCAAGGGAAGATATAGAAATAGACAAACATTCTTGGAAATAAAGTACTACTTCAAGTTTGCATTTTTCTTTGAAGAGTTTTATCAAACACCATATCTCCAGTTCCTATCAATATTAGGCATTTAGGCTATACAATTAGGAATTTTAGGAATTTTAACAAACACATGATAAGCATTACAAATTTAATTTCTTAGACCTACTATTTAATTTTGTATATGAGCTAAACATCAAATGTGAAGGAATCAAACCAATTGCAGAAAAATGTGTATATGAAAACACAAAAATGTATACACAATAATTACATAATTAGTGTGTAGCAAAATAATGGTTTTTACCTAGATTGAGAGTCGGTGGGTGCAGATGCAGAAGTGGCGTTCGGCGTCCTGCTGCAACGGATGTGGAAACGAAGCTCAGCCGTGAGGAGAAGCGGCGTTCAGCATCCAGGCCCGCTGCAACTGACCCGGCCCGCTGCAATTGATGTGGAACCGCGGCTAGGCAACGACGAGGAGACGGCGTTTGGCAGTGAGGATAGAGCGTCACTGGCCGAGGAGCAGCGGGAAGTCACCGGGTAGGGAAGTCGATCTTCTTCTCGTACTGCGCGCTAGGTCTTCTTCTCACCGGCCGTACATCTTCGTTAATTTCTGTCGTAAGTCAGGACTGAGGAGAGGAATTAAAAGCAAAGACATTTAACAAGGGGCAGATTCTAACCGACATTAATAATACTTTTCAATTTTATAAAAAGAACCCCGTTTCACCTGCATACTTTCCAAATATTATGAATATGACCCCGTTTTTATATTTAATGTCGGTTCTTTTATTATCCGTTATGAAATGAGTGCCAATACATTATTATTTAGCCTAGCGGAAGGCTATAAACTTTAAAAATTTGCAATTTTGACCCCGAGCCTACCTACTATCACGATTGTATACCAACCCACATAAAATGTTAGTTATAAGATGCAGTTTTTCCACTAGTGATAAGTCTATTTGAAAGATCAATGAAGTCCCCCACCGGTTCAATATACTTCAATTTCATTCCTTTATTCGGCTCTCTATTGTCTTTGAATAAGGATATCCAAGGAGTAGTTTTAGGTACTGCCTTAGGAACCTCAGCAACCCTATCATCCACAGCACCTTCATTCAATGGAAGATTGACCTCTTCCCTTGATCCTTCCTCCTTTTCATGTACGGGTGTAGAGGTAATTTCCTCCACATCCACTTCCTTTCCCTTTTCTATAATGGCTATAGCCAAGGGGTCAACCACATAATCAGTTTGTTCCTCAATCGTATCATTATTATCCATACTCAAAGTATCAACAAAATCATCATCATTTTCGGACACAATTCCATCCACATTCGCATTCTCATTTGACACATCAATAAGGACCTCAATAGCTTCGGTAGAATTAGAATTTACCTCCAGGTTAGGAACCTCACGGTTCTCATCCAAGTTCTGCTCAAGGGAAGGTGCCATCAAATGAGTACAAGACATGTCTTCCTCCACCTCCTTCAGTTCACACTCTTGAGGTTTGACATGTTCTTCTACCTCTTCGGTCTCCTTTGTTTGCGCTTTGGCCTTAAGCCGAGAGGAGGA